ATTGTGATTGTTGGAACTAATAAACAGCAATATACTTTTGGCAATTGTGTTATAATTATTCAACGACTACCTCAACTTCACAGTAAAAGGTCTAGCTGCCTGCAACTGTTAGTATACTAGTAGCTGTTAAAGCTACCAGAATATTACAGTCCCATAAAACCAAAAAAGGGGAGGATACCCCACAAACAGCCCCCCCGGTCAAAAAAAAATTTATTAAAAAAACAATGGATAATAAACCACCGGGGCCGTGCAGATATTGTGGGGAACTCCATTGGAACAACAAGTGTCCAAATAGGCCGACCACGTCGGGAAACGGCGGGGAAGTCGACGAGGACTAGTCCCCCTCATCGACTCGCCAACACCCCCCACCCACAACCACCCACTATCGGTAGTACGGGCGGAAAAAAATTACGCAAACAAAACGCGCGTAGTATGAAAGTTCGACAAAACGAAAAATCAACAACGAACATTTTTTCCGTCTCACATCATCAATCGGCACCCGTTCACAGACTCCCAACCTACACCACCCCACCACCGAATGCTCTCACCTCACCGGTGACACGTGTGTTCAACAACAACCGGCTCATGGGGCAGCCACAGGTGTAGGGACAAAGGCAACAGAGACACGGGCCGGTGTTCACCAACACAGGTGACTGGGACACAAGCGCACACACCGCGCATTTCCCGCATTAGGTCAGTCTGCGCACGTAAAGCAACAGGCGAGCAATGAGGCAACCGATGTTGACAGTACGGTCATGGCGGTTAACACCGAAACCAGACAGTCACCGTCGCGGTTCAGAACCAGTTGTCCCGCTCACCAGATTTCAATACGACTAATAATGGTATACGAACACGCCCAGACAAAATTCCGACCCCCGCGGTCAAACTCGAATTTCCGTCAGGTTTCGTAACAGCCCTATTAGATTCGCAGGCACAAAAATCTTACGTAAACCCAACAGTAGCCCGTAAATACGGCAAAACACCTCCCCACGGACCAACAAACACAGTCCGGATGGCGGACGGTCACACTGCAACAACCAGTGGCACCTCCACATTCGAAGCTATGATAGGTACACTCGATATAAAATTCGAAGCTACCATCCTAGACAATTTGTATTGCGACGCGTTACTAGGACACGACTTTCTTGTAACCAATGAAGTCTCTTGGGATCACGCCGCATGCACAATTCATGTGGATAGGCAAATTCGTACGTCGACATGCTGGAAAGGGAAACCACAACCACCCGCCACTAGTCCCGACTTGTCACAATTAGAATTTGGAAACGACACCAAAACACGAGCGAGACTAACCAAGATATTAAATAAATACGCTGTAGTATTCAGCGAAAAAGTAGGACGTACCAAATTAATTGAATACGAAATTATGCTAAAAGACCTATCACCGATCGCGCTCAAAGCATACCCATATCTGCAGCAGAAACAAACTGCTATCGACGATATGGTGCGCGATATGGAACTCCAGGGGCTCGTAGAACCAAGCACCTCACCGTGGGCCGCACCGGTAGTATTGCAAAGAAAAAAGACGGAACATTTCGTCTCTGTGTCGACTACAGGCGGCTTAACGACGTAACGGAATCCGACTCGAACCCTATGCCAGATCTCAACAAAATGATTAGGCAAATGAGGGGGGCGAAAATTTTCAGCATTTTTGACCTTAGGTCGGGGTACTGGTAAGTTCCACTACACGAAAATGCGTGAAAATACACGGCTTTCAGAACACGTAAGGGTCTATTTCAGTTCAGAGTCCTCCCCTTCGGTCTAAAAAATAGTCCAATGATTTTCGTGATACTCATGAACGAGGTACCAGGATGATTTCGTACAAGTTTACCTAGATGATATTGTAGTATTTTCAAGGGACGAGAACGAACACCAGGCCCACCTAGACAAAGTTCTCGAGCGCCTTAAGAGATTCGGATTAACGTGCAACACAAAAAAATGTAAAATCGGTCTTCGCGAAATTTAATTTTTAGGGCACATTGTAGACTCGGAGGGCATACAAAAACAACCGGAAAAATTGGTACGCATACGTTTTTTCCGAAGGACTCCTAAGCGTAAACGTAGGCCCCCACACACCCATTGTGATACCAAAAACCAAAGCGCAACATGCAATTTGGCGGTGTCACGATCACGTCTTATCCAACCACCCGGTTTGGAAAGAGACGTACCGGGCGGTTCGATAACGATACTATTGGAAAGGTCAAAAAAATGACGTTAGATTATATGTCGGTGCGTGCCACGTATGTGCGTGCACGAAACCACTAAACTCACGTCCTACCGACCCAATGTAACCAAGAACCCCTAGGAAACCATGGGAAGTTATCAGTGTCGATCTTATGGGTCCATACCCACGCTCTGGTAAGGGAAAATCGTACATACTGGTAGCAACCGACTGTTTTAGTAGGTGGACCGAGGCTTACCCCTTAGGAACAGCAACCTCTAAACAATAATCGAAACGTTAGAGCGCGAGTTCTTTTCGCTTTTCAGTTACCCCCGCGTGTGTCTCAGTGATAACGGCCCACAGTTTGTGTCAAACGAAATGATAAACGCATTAGAACGCTGGGGGCACAGGGTTGGACGACGCCAGTCTACCACCCGAGGGCCAACCCAGTCGAACGCCGTAATCAGGATTTAAAAAAAGGTTTACGTGCACAACTAATCGAGGGCAAACATAAATCTTGGGACACAAAACTACCCTTAATTCTATTTTTGATACGGAACAGGTGTAACGAACAGACATGCTACCCACCCGCGGTCCTTGTCCTCGGCAGGGAGTGCAAGAGACCCGGATATTGGGCGCTGTCTAAAGACGCGCCGGTACACATCGAAAAATCACTGGAAAAGAGGGTAGAGCGGGAAAAACGTATTATAGGCAAAAAGGTAGTGGTAAAGCCGAGCACGAACACCGGCATACCGGCGAAGTTCGACAAGTGCGACGTAGTCTACTACAAAGCACACCACCTATCTAAGGCACATAAAGATTTTCATGCCGGGTTCGCACCAAAGTGGTGGGGACCGGTAAGGCTAGCTAAGCAGGTCGGTAAAGGAGTCTTTCTAACCGACCAACAACCGCCGCGAAAAATACATGTGTCTTGTCTAAAACGCGCGCCCACAGGTCAAAGTAAATAAACATTTGTCTGTACTAACCACCATTTACAGACAACAGGGCCGACCAACAACAGCAGGAGAAGTGGCAGCAGGTGGCCGCACTGATCCAGCGGCTGGGGCTGGTGTCCGGTGATCAGGACGAGCCGCGTACAGCCACCCAGGTCGCAAGGATGTCGACCCGCCCACTCCTGCAGGACCCAGTGCGGGCGGCCATCTACAACCGGGCCTGGGCGGACCGCACAGCCGACATTCAACGAAGGATACAACCACAGCGACCCGCGACGACACCCAGCAGCCGCACCCCGTCGTTGACGAGGCCACCACCACCGGGAACCACTCCTACCCCCGTGGCACCCGCACCCGTAACATCTGCGGAGCCGACAACGGGGGTACCCCTCGTACCGACGGTGAAGGCTAGAACGGAGGCGCAGCGGGCACGGAACAAAAAGAAGTTCCAGCAACTGAAGGCGAAGAGAATGGCCAGGGAAAGCAAGGCAAGCCAACAACATCGGACCCGGAAGGGGCCAGCACGCTCCCGCTCGAACCAACACCGCCGGCAGCGATGGAGGTAGACCCTCCGGCGACCAAGGACGAAAAATCCAAGGAGCCGGAGCAATCTACCAGGCGCCGCCAAACCAATCAGCCGATCAGCCGAAACAACCGAGGAAGATTGGTTGGGGGCGTTCGAGGGGCTACCGGAGTTAGAGTACTCTAACACGTACTACACTCCTGTAGGGTCCCCAGACCACCATTAAACACACCCACGGGCGTGGGCAAGTCTACCTCAAGCGTAAGCCAGAGGTAGTACAAGCCACCCCGTCCCATGACTACACGCCGACACTGGTACAAGTGTACCCCGTATGGCGGTTTGGCGGGGGAGTATGACGCGGTACGCAGCGGCCACCAGTACAAAGTACAGGTACCACAGCGACCGTCTACGCTTTTGTCAACCACCACCACGGAATACAGCACGACAACGCCAACTCTCCCACCGCGTCTAAAAGGCACAAGGCGGGACGGGAAGGCAAGTCGCGCAAAACGAGTACTGGCCGCCGGCGGTGTCTCTCTCAACCACCAACGTTTGATAAGTACACACGTACGCCAAAACGCGACCCTCCGCAAAATTCACGAGACCACGTTGTGACCGTTACTGTTCGATTTTTGATATACATTATTGTGTCATCACCGTTTGTAACTTGTACTGAACAATACACGTCCACCGAGGACCTTTCAGCGACACCTGTGTTTTCTTTCGATTGTTCACCATACCTACGCGCTACTCACAAGCGCAGGCGCTACACGACCGGCTCACTGCCAACCGCCAGACCACCATCGCCGTAGCCGCGTCAAGCTATGATAAGGAGGTCTCCGTTATCATTCTGTATCTTTATTATCTATCTATGAACATTATATTGTGCATATTGTGCTTATCACTTAGATATGATGTTGATAGTAGTTATTGGTAAGCGCATACGCGTGGAACTAGCTGCAGTGATCGTTGTCATATTGTCTGTGCTCTTATTGCTCTGTGGTGGATACTTGTGGTTTTAAATCAAATTTGACTAATAGTCAACCGTTAGATGATGATTTTTCCAAAAATCTTGATGAAAACCATTATTCAACCCTATTAGTTTCCGGTTTTACTAAGCCAAATATTAAGGATTTAGTAATGTTTTTCAAATTTCATCCTATTCAAGCATCTGATAATGTGCCGTATAATCCACTCATAGCATATTTTTATAATAATCATGCAGAAAATCATAAACGGACATGGCTAAGCTATACACTTAATAAATCTTTTTATTGCATATTTTGCTTACCTTTTTTAAAAATTGATAACCTATTTACAATAGGTTGTACATTTAATAACAAAAATGCTTGCAATCGTATTAGTGAACATGAAAAGTCTAATGATCATAAAAATTGTGTCGACGCTTATTTACTACAGTCAAAAGAAAAAGATTTATATAATTTCTTCAGTGTTGCGAAAAAATATGAAGGCAGTACTAGAACGTATAATTGAAACTATCAAGGTAATAGGTAAAAGAGGATTAAGTTTTCGTGGTGCAAAAGATGCTGAAGCTGCATACACGCTTAATGATGATTCTTTAGACAACGGGAACTTTTTGGAAATGTTTATTTTGATTTCAAAATTTGATACACTGTTAAAAGAACACATCGATGAAGAAAAAGTAAAAAAAATCGTGAAAAGCGTGAACAAAAAGGAATAATGGGCCCTGGACGTTGTAGTAACCCGTCGCTCTCACTTGATTGGTTACTGCACACTTCTTTAACCACGAATGCACGTACACGTCGTCGCAATGAATCGGAGGATGGTGGTTGAAGTGAAGGTAGAGTAAGAATAGTTTAACACAAAATGTAGTTAATTATAGATATAATGTTTATTGACACGAAACTAATAATATAGTTAATTTAAAGTAATGTAAAATTTGTCGACAGAATAATAATTCTGCCGGAGAATAGTTGTAATTGAAATTATACTTGATGTGGACGGCAATGCGGCTGTTTCTAGTCCGCGACCCACACAAGTATTGTTAAGCACTGGAAATTACTTCTATGTCTAAAAAGTCTGTGAAACAGGGCCCCTATTTATATGAGACATGCCCGGGATTTAGGAAAGGATGATTGACGTCATAGGAATGGCGTGATGTGTAGTTGATCAGTATTAACCAATGAGGCGGCAGCCTCAGTGGCCTATTTTGGTGGCGCGATGTTGTTCAGGCCACCTAACCTTTGGAACGCCGTTTTTGTGTAAAAACGTCGGTTTACTACATTCCTCCCTTGTAAGAATGATACTCCGTATCATAAAGATGAAATGGTTGGATACACGGAATATGCCGTGCTCCGTGGTATTAGGGCTTCCTGCTTGATTACGTCTCTCGGTGTGTGTCCGGAACTGAGGGTTGGTTTTTGGCCTTCAGTTACGTCGGGTTGCTCGGAAATCGGAAGTTGTACAAACTCTGTCTCTTGTCTGCGATCGTTTGCTTGTTCCCGCTGTGCAGTGCGCAAGTCAGCGCACCAAGGTAGTTTTTCCACCCAACTTGTCATGAATAGAATTAGACAGACGACTGTTATTGCACTAACTACATATAGTAAATAGTCATGTTTGTTTTTGCTGTATTTGATTTCTTCCGTTTCTTCGTTCTGTGATATTACTTCTTTTATTTCCGATGTAGATTTTGCAACTAAATTTAAGTCGAACATTTGATTTGTTCGTACGTGTTTATTTTTTAAAATGTTGTTGGTCAAGCCCGCATATGTTCCTGCGGGTTCCCTCATTCTGGAATTTGGTATGAAGTCGACATACTCGGTGTCGGTTTCCACTATGTGCGGAATCAATATGTCCCGTGTCGCGTATGCTTTACATGTTTCGTTAAGTGACAATATTCCTACTCCCTCTAAGAAGTGGTTCATGCTTCTTTTGTCATGATCGCATGTTATAAATATGGTTTCACCTGGAGTAGCATAAATCCAGTCATTTTTGAATTTTAATTTGTGAAATAAATTTGTCTGTAACTGTACATGCAACTATCTCGCAACTCTCCGGAACTTCCTTTGGATCTTGTAGTAGAAGCACCTCGCATATGGGGCGTACACTTCTAGGATGTAAAGGATATATTTCAGGACACATGAGGAAATCACTGGCATGTTTACATTGACTTCTATCGATTTCGTCATAAGTGGAATACAATTCTTTGGATTTACTTATAGCTAAATACTTATGATTAGGTTTTACATATAAACAATTATTTTCGTCACAATTTGGTATTGGTATTAGCTGAAAAAGAGTTAATTCATGTTGGTATACTAAAGGTACATTTATAATAAATATAATTTTGTCATTCGAATAATATATTGTAATGTCTGAGAGATGTATGGATTATCGGATTTGTTTTTTAATTTTTTCCCTACCGAGAAAAATAAAAACTTCGTAATTAAATCCTTATCAACGTTATTATTATTTTATACCTATTTATTATTTATAGACTTTATTAAAATTATCATAATAATTAATAACCTTATTTTTTTTCATATTATGTAATTGGTTAACTTAATATGTTTTTACCTACGATAATAATATAACAATGACTAGTTTATGACTACTTATAACAATAAAAGAAAATTGAAGGATCCTATAGCTAAAAATATATATATGTTATGACACCGAAGTGTTCATAAATCGGTCTCGAAATATGTTTTTTTGTATTATTTACGTGGATCCTATAGTCCTTCCTCCCCATCTTTATTGTTATATTTCCGTTGTCATCCGTAAAAATTTGTTTTTTATAAATAGTTACTGCTATATCAGTGTTTCGGAATATGTAACGGAACATCGTGCGTATGCGCTCGTAGCAGGTCAACGTTGTTAACCCTTCTAGCCTGATTGTCGAGAATTGATTAATTCGTTTTTCAATACAATATATTTTAATCTCTTTAATAGCGTTGTAATAATTCTCGGCGTTAATTGTCGTATAATGATTATTTTTAAGATTGTAGAATATTACTAATTTGTCGGTTTGTTCAATCAAAACAAATTTATTATTATCATTAAAAATTACCTGCTGCGGTAAATCGTTATTGTTCATTACATCTCTTATCGCTGGATGCGTTATTATTTTATCATTTGAAATAGGTAACATTATATTTTCATTATTTTGCGCGTGTTTTATACTTCCCTCTATTTCAGTTATTTTGGAATTAAAAATCGGGTTTAGTTTCTGCTTTTTTAAACTCTTCGAAATCGCTAATTGGCTCATCATTGGTAACAACATGTATACGTGATAAGCAATCCGCGTTCGAATGTTGTGAGCCTGCTCTATAGATTATTTCGTAATCGTATTCCTCGAGCTGTAATCGCCATCGCATTAACTGAGACGAAACGTCTTTTATATTGAATAAATACGTTAATGGACGGTGATCGGTGATTATTTTAAATTTTTTCCCGTATAAGTAAGGCCTAAAATACTTTACAGCCCATACTATCGCTAACAATTCTTTTTGTATTACGCTATAGTTTGTTTCGGCGGTATTTAGAGTTCTACTTGAGTAAGCTATGGGTTGATCTCTAGATACGTCACCTTGAGACAAGACCGCTCCAATTGCGTATTGGCTTGCATCGGTCATGAGGTTAAAATTTCCGTTTTCCCAATTAGGGTAGATAAGTAGAGGTGGATTCATTAACGCGTTTTTTAATTCTTGGAATGCGTCTTCACACATGTCCGTCCACACGAACGGTGTGTTTTTCTTTAATAAGCTAGTAAGAGGTTTTGCTATTTTGGCAAAGTTATCCACGAATCGGCGGTAATAATTTAATAAACCTAAGAATGACTTTACGTCTTTCTCGTTTAGTGGTCTCGGATATTCTTTAATACAACTTAATTTGTTTGGATCAGGCGTTACCCCGTTTTCGCTGATCACGTGCCCTAAATATAACACCTCTTTACGTAGAAACATACATTTACTAGGTTGCAATTTCAGTTTATGTAGTCTTAATCGCGTAAACACCTGCTCTAACCTATTCTGATGATCTACTAAACTTGACCCGTGGACTACAATGTCATCTAGGTACGCCGTACATAACTCTTCCAAGCCCATTAAAATAGATTTCATGGCTCGAGTAAAAGTTGCCGGCGCAGAACTAAGTCCAAATGGTAAACGTAAAAATTCATAATGCCCTGATTTTGTAGAAAAAGCTGTTTTATGGGTGTCTCCCTTATCAATCATTATTTGATGATAACCGCTTGCAAGATCAAGTGTAGAGAAGTACTTAGATGAGCCTAAGGATTCTAGTATCTCTAATATATTCGGTAAGCCGTATGCTTCATTTTCCGTAACCTCGTTTAATTTTCGGAAATCTACACATACTCGTAACTTTTGGTTACCGTTCAGATCTTTTTTCTTTTTCACTACCACTAGTGGAAAATTAAATGGTGATAATGAATTACGTATTATATTCGCGTCTTTCATTTCTTTTACTTGTTTTTCTATCTCGTCCTGGTACGCGTGCGGTAGCCTATATGGACGTATGTTAATTGGTTTAACACACCTAGGTGTATTAATTTTATGCGTAACAATGTCAGTTGCACTCAAAAGATCGCCTTCGAGAAAAAATAGATCAGAAAAACGACTACACAGGTCTAATATGTTATCGCGTTCTACGTGATTAAGATGCTCGGTATTAATAGTTTCTTTGATCCTTTTAATTCTATTCGAAGAGTAGTTGTTGCTTTCGCTAGCAATAAAAACGTTATCATGGTACGGTTCCCATTTAAAATTACTCGTGGTTAATTGTTCGATTATAAACGGTTGTTCGGATATATTTATTATATTACTTATTATTTTATCACCTTTGACCGGACTGATACTATTAGCTATAATTACGTCTTCATTAATTTCATATTTTTTTATCGTTATTGCTTCGCAATTGATTTCTTCGTCGGCTTTTATTTGTAATACACAATTACTCCTCGGCGGAATAATTAGTGCGTTATTAATTACTTTTTCTGGGATTATTAATACTTCTTTATCCCAATCCAAAACGACCTTATTTAGTTTCAAAAATGATATGCCTAATATACCTGCTTCGGGTATTGGAAAATTATCATGCACAATGTCGAATTTTACTACGAAAGGCTGTTTGTTAATATAAATTGGAATCACTACTGTTCCCACTGTCTCTACTGGACTTGCATGAATACCTTTGATTTTTTTCTTATCTTTTTCGTTTACGATTATATGCCCTTTTAAACTTGAAATTTTTATAATGTTCATTTCAGAACCGCTATCAATTAAAAATTTGATTTCGCTTTTAACAAATTTATCGGAAAAACATTTTATATGTTCCCGCGTTATAGGCGTTATTACGCGTACGTTACTTCCCGATTGTATTTCTTCGATGGATCTATTTTGATCGCTCCTATTATTTTTCTCCTCGAGTTTCTTTTTTTCATTATATTTTAATTTCCGACATTCGCTAATGTCGTGATTAGTTTTTTTACAATATTTGCAGAATTTGCTAGAATATTCGCGTTTAATTTCTGTCTTCGGACTTTGACCGCTGTTCGGATTTCTAAAAGTAGGTAATTTATGTTCGCTAGTTCTACACTCGTTTGCATAATGACCGACTCGCTCGCAACGGTGGCATTTAACCGCGCTTTTATCGTTGAACTTTTTTTTATCAAATTTATTTTTATTCTGAAACTTATTATTC